CGTGATCGGAGAGTTGTGCCCTAAGGTCATCTCTGTGGCATATTCCGGAAGTGTCACTGCGCACAGTGTTTCGTGAACCCTTCCTTTGGCATTAGTCTGGGAGAGTGTGGGATGTACCTTTGTACTGAATGCTACCGTTCAGTTATCTGGAAATTTAACAAGTAGGTTTGGAAGACACGATGAGATTGTTATAGACCCATTAGCCAATCTACGGATTCACAGATGTAGTTGCTCAAAAAACCGCTGGGTAAGTAAAGTCCAGTGACTGAATTTTTAGGTCATATAGTGAAAGATGTGGGTGGGTCTCTGTTTTCTTCTCTTCCTACTATGTGAGCAAGCACAGACAGTCTGTTTTGCACACCAGTGTGGGCCCTCAGGTGATGGGTGATATGTCAAGTGTCAGGTTCTTACTGTGTAATCAGTAGGCAGAAGGGGAGGTCAGATCCTTCAACAGAGATCGGAACCTCGGGACAGTAACCAGAGGCTCTCCCCAGGCTGCCACCCCTGTGTGGAGGTTTCACGATGCCTCTAGCTTACCCTTGGTTTCCATGTGGTTTTCTTCCTCTTTGGTATCAGTGTAAATGGTTTTATGGAAAGGGTTTACCTCTTGGCGATGGCAAATACATTTATTGAGTTACTAGAGATGAACATTTCACAAGTGGACACAGCCAGAGTAATTAAAATGTCTGTTTATTCATTTACAAATTCAGTAACATGAAAAGGAAATCTGAATTGGAATCTGGCTTGATAGAAACACAGTGCACAATGTTAATACCACATTCATGGAGGCAGAAGTTCACCCCGGGTACCTAAAGTCACCAGAGTTCTTAAGAAAAAGTCCCATCCCCTAAAGTGCCTCAGATGTCTTCAGCACCAGAAGCTGACACTGCAGAGGGACCGAAAGGGGCTAAGCAAACTGCACACTTAAGAGTCGTAAATAAGGAGTTACAGCCTGAACGATAATTACAATGGCATTTCCTGGATCCCAAGAGGAGGCTCGAGAGTGAAGCATTAACTGTGCTGCTAGAAACCCCCTCAGTGAAAGAAGCTGCAGAAGCTTTCTCCCCCTCACCTGTCTGCTCTGGGAAAGGGAGGTGATGGCGGGGTGCCTGGGAACCCTCAGACTGAAATGAAGTTTCTTTTCATCCTACACCCACCGTGGGACATCCTGGCATAAGGCACGAGAACTGGACTTGAAAAGAGGTGCTCCCAGCTCCAGTTCTTGGTGTGCAAAGGAAATCCTGGCATAGATCTTTTGAAACTGATGCTAAAAATATCCTTCCCACCCTCTTGTAATTTCTGTCCTTGAGGGACAGAAAACCGAGAAGGCAGAAAAGGTTTGTGAAGGGTAAAAATAGGTACCTCTAGATATGAGGAGAAAGCCCAGGAAGAAATGTGTAATTCTTCAAGGGATGCAGATTCTCTGCTTGGAGAAGTCAAGAATCACATTATACAATGAATAACTCTGGTGTTTAATGAACAAAGAGAAGGCAAAGACATACAAAAATATTCAGTTCTCTTGAAAAATAGTGCATTTGTAGTGATGAGGGGCTGCAGAGGCAGCCGTGTGCGGATGAGGGGGGAGCCTTACAACTCAGCACCTTGAAGTGGAGGAGGCCGAGGGGGGCTGCCAGGGAAGCGTTGCCAGGCAGAGCCCGGGGCTCGCTCAGGGATCACTGCAAGACACGGTTAGCGCCTGAAGACTCCCGGGTCAGCTACCGTTTCTGCCCTCTGCTGTGCTGCTCCGAACCCATGCGCTTGCAAGTGATAGTTCTTGACTTGTGAAAATGTTCCCTTTGTCGTTCTGATAGAAGATTTGGGGAGGGATGTGGGTGCGGGGAGGGGGAGTGTGCCAAAGGAAATGGAAACAGTAGGAAAGTTCTCCAGTACTAAGCAAGGTGCTCACACCTCCACCTCAGATACCAGAGGGGCCCTTTGCTGCTTCCAGTGGTCGGGCAGCTACAGCGAGACAGCAGGCCGAACCCGAACCCGGGAGCTAACCCTGGAAGTCAGCCAGGACGCAGCCTTCTGGAGTCAGAATTAGGACGACAGATGATAGAAGATTCCCTTTTATCCCCCTCAGGTTCTCAGCGGAGGGCAGAGACGCAGATGCCGGCACATGTGTCCATCAGGCAGAGGATGAACCGAGCCAGAAAGCAAGGTGAGGGGTCAGCTCTCCAGTGAGGGTCAGCCGCTTCCAGAAAGCTTCAGTCCTGCCGCATGGGGCGGGGGGTTAACACTGCAAATACGTTCAGAGGCTGGTAGTGGAGGAAGGAGTTATTTTTCACTTGTTTCACTGCCTCAGAGGGGAAAGAGGTAAAGCTGTTGGTCTGTACAAGGTAGAATCCACGGACACCAGATCTCCTGGTGAGAAGCCAAGTCCCCAGGCTTCTCCTCCTGCAGAAATGGGGTAACTGAGGTTAATCACTGAGCCTAGTGGTCTCTGTGCCCGTTCTGAAGGGCAGCTCCTGTATTCGGGGGCACAGGGAGGGACCCCTGCCCCCAGCAGAGCACTAGAAACGTAGGGGGATTGTTTGGTTCTCGCTCCTGGAGCAGGTCCCCTGTGCGGTGCTCTGTGGCTCCGACACAGGTTAGAGGACAGCAGGTAGTTCTTGTCCCTTGCTCTTAAGTTTTCCAAATTAGAGCGCTCTGGTATGCACAGGGAGTCTCTCTGCTGCAAGCTTCCACAGAAGACAAGTGACCGTGGTAGGGCCGGGAACCAGGATTTACACATGGTGCCAGTAAGTGGGGGCTTAGCAGGTATTTCAGGGGAGGAGAGGGGCCGCAGGGACCCGCAGCCCTGAGTTTTCATCTGCTTGAGGCCGCTATGCTTTGTGTTTGTAGCTTCAAAGAGAAGAGCGCAGAGGCCCTCCCTCAAGAGAGCACAAGATCAAGACAGCACAAGAGGGGACAGTGGATCCTTTCCGAGAAAAGACCGCGTGTCTGAACACAAAGTCCCGCTAACCGTTCACAGCAGTCCGGATCCCTGGGATCTCCAGGGAGAGGTGAGTGGTCATCCGCGGTAACGCACGGGGCCTGACCGCCGCGGAACGGACGTTCTGTCAGGTGTGCGGGGAGGCAGGGAAGAGTCATCCCCCTCACAGATACGAGCGAAGAGGGAAACGACCGAATTCAGACTGAAGTCTGACTTAACCAAAGATTTCAAGGGCGAGTGTTCAAGTGTCAGAAGCGAAGTGTGTGTGTCAGGGTCCTCAATAAAAAGGGATGACCCGGAAAATTAACATCTTGCCAATTATAGCTAAGATATAAGTAATAAAGCCAGAATGTCTTTTAGATTCAACCTGAAATAGTTTTTCATTTACAAAGATGTGTGTGGCACAGAGCATAGGCTGCCCCTAGCGCCACGTTCCTTCCTCCGTCGGGCCCCTGCTGTCCAGTGGGGCAACACCGCTGCCCCTTTCTCCTTCCTCCCCAGGGGCAGCATCTCTCAGGGAACAGAGTTCTAACTACCACTCCCTTAATAAATCAACTAAGACTTCCTTAAGCAGTCAGTGATCAAGTAGGAGTTGTCTGGCTGGGGAAATGGCAAGCAGTGTCTAGAAGGAATCTGTCTGATTGAGTAAACAGAGCCCAAGAAATGCCACAGCAGACACAGCTGAGAATTCTAAGTTGCTCTAAAACAAAAGGCTTTTTAGTACAGAGACCTGACTAGAGCTAACGCATCCAAGATACCAAGAAAACAGTTCAAAATCTGTAACAGCAGAGGTGGCCCAGCTGACCCCTACCTAACAGCATGGAGGGCCTTTCCGGTGCCCCAGGCCCTTTTCCATGCTGGAGCCTCAGAGCCCTGGCTGGCTGAGAGCAGACTCAGGATGTACTCTCTCCACGCTCAGAACTCTCAGCAGACCCATGGCGGGGGCATGGGGGGTGGTCAGCGCTGTGTGGATCTGTCTGTTCTGGGCCAGAGGAAGCCACATTGGGGAGGCCAGCAGCTCTCTCGAACTCAGCACGGCCAGCGAGGTTTGGTTCCTCAACCAAGACCGCACAACCATCCTGTTCCAAAGGGACCGCAGTGTTCACTGGCTGAGGGCCCACTGCACAAGGGACAGGGGAGGGAGGATGGACTAAGTCAAATGCGCTTGGAGAGACTGAGCTTAGAGGCAGAAAGCAGCAGCAGCATTCTAGCAGCAGGAAACCGCCTTGGGGCTGTGCACCTTCTGAGATCAGACCCTTGCAGCTGGGAAAAGCAACACAAAAGGCAACATGGTTTTTCCCTTTCCAACGCTGGCTTGTTTACTCAGGCCGACAAACGCTCTTGGAGAGCTGAGCGAGACACGGAGAAAATTTGAGGCCAGTGGCCCCGGCCTGACACTAACACCCAGGTTGGTAGGGACCTCGGGGAGGTGCCAGGGCCGCTGTTCACTAGAGACCAGACAGCATCCACGGGATGCCTCGCGGGGGTGAGGTAGATGGTCGTCCTCCTGCTCGAGGTAGCAGGGGCCAGCCCACGGCACAGGGAAAGGGAGAGGGATCTGCCTGGCCCAGCAGCACGGCCCGTGCTCGCACAGGGCTGAGCCCCACACACAGCGAGCCACCGCTCCGAGAAGAGTCGGCCTCCCGGAACTCCGGCCCTGAGGCCTGCACACCACCAGCTTCCCTTGCTGTGAGACAGCATTAGAAATCCGACTGTCCCGGTTACCTACTTCCACAGGTGGAGCTGGCGCCTGTCCTGCCCATTAGACACGCTTCTCGTCACCACGGGAATCGGGGGGGCGAAGAGTGGAGGGAGGAACGGCCCGGAGTGAGCGGTAGATGGAAAAGTGCAGAAGGGAGGGGGAGGGTGGAAGGAGAAGAGGTTGCAAAGCAAAAGGTTTAAAAGCAGGTGAAGTTTAAAATGGCATCAAGGAGCTGAGCTGGGAGGCAGAGGTCAGGACGGGGAGGTGGAGGGGAGCCCTGCGGTAGGGTGTGGGGTAGGTGGGGAAGTGAGGCCGCCAGCATTACTTCCCGTGCAAGTCACTTAGCTCTACGTCCTCCTTTCGGCGCTTGTGAGTGAAGAGTGAGGTGACCGGGTAGAGCTTGGCCTTGGCCTGGAACCGGTGTCCCGCGATGTCAATCTCATACTCTCCCCGGTTAATAAAATCTGCTGTCACCACCTGTTCTTCTCCCGTGTCCTCGGAAAAATTGTGTACGAATCCCAGGCAGACGTGGCGCTCCAGGGTGTAGCTGTAGGCGCTGCTGGTGGTCTTGCCCGCGTACTGCCCGTTGCGGTAAATGGGCTCCCCCCACCATGGCCAGAGGTCCAGGTCGGTGTCGTGGTCGTCCAGGATGAACATGGTGAGGCGTTTGTACACCCCGTTCTGCTTTTGCTGCAACAGAGCATCTCGGCCAATGAAGTCCATCCCCTAGGAAAGAAGGCAAGGCTGAGACGGGACGGCCGTGCTGGGTGCGAAGGGGCCCCTGGCGTCCCTGGCCTGGGGCAGCACTCGGCACCCCCCCACCCGGTTTCCCACTGCATGAAAAACTGCGTTCACCATAGTAAAGACCTCCTCGGGGAACTTCTGTAACACAAGCATTTTTCAGATTTCAACCACAAGACCACACAGAAAATATTTAGGAAGAAAAATCCTCCAAACGTACTCACTAGAATTATTTTAGAAAAACTACGTTTTTATATATGTAGAATCTCAACAAAAAGCCCACACATCTATAGTCAATGCTTGTAGGTTCGCAGAGGCAACCTAAGCAGGTATGAACAGATAAAATGGTGTGTGTTAATTTTCTTGATACTCTTTGCTATTTTCCAAAATTAGTATTCATTACTTTTCTGTCTGAGAGAAAACCGTTACCTGTAATTGTGCACGGAGAAGACTACAGAGCTGTACTGCAAGGGAAGGCCTAAGCTCATTTGTGCAGCAGGAGCGAGTGCGGGGAGCCCAGCTGGGGGCGGCGGGGAGAGGAGCACACGCTCCGAGGGAGAGGCAGTAGCTCGGGGTGCAGGTTGGTGGGGGGCAGACGTGGGAAAGAGACTTTTCACTAACATCCTCTTGACCTAGCACTTTTTTAAAAAATGACGTTCCTATTTACTTTGGAAAGAAAACTGAGGTAGCTGACTCTAAGAGGAGTACCACGTACAAAGGTCCACGGCATGGAAATGGAGAAACTTCCCCAACAGCCCTCCGTCTGCAGGAGCACCAGGCAGGACGCCTTCCACCTCAGCCGCTCCTTTCTGAGGCCACGTATACTCCTGCGGCAGGGGGTGGCTTGGGGGGGCCTTGGGCCGTGCAGATACAGTACCTTCTCCAGTTTCACCCGAGATTCTCGTCCGCATTCCAGGGGGGTGGTGAGGGTATTTAAATCCTGACCCCAGAAGGCAAAAAACTTCTCAATTCGAAGACTACGAAGTGCATAGTACCCAGCATTCCGGATTCCGTATTTCTGCCCAACACTCATCACCTCGTTGTACACGTGCAGGGCATACTAGAGGGGGAGACGAGAGGTAACTCACACATCAATTCGACATGGGGGTGTGTCTGGCAGTGCCGATGGCAGGCCACCTAGACTCTGACAAGGCAGAGGGTGTATGAAATTCTCAGGATGTCTCATCTTTGACAAACCAGAGCACTATCCCCTCAGGGGTAATGAGCCAGGGTCTCCCCAACCCCAACATTAAGCTCCGTAAAAGCAGTACCCGTATCTTTCCTTTCCCTCCAGTGCCTAGAACAGGGAGCAGTCCTCGAGTACCAATCCTAGACGCATGCTTACCCCACCCCGGCACGGCCAGGCCCATCACTGCCTCTGCAACAGCCCACTCATCTGCCACGGGCTTTGCTCTCTCACCCCGCTTGGCTCCCCTGTGACCCTCATGCACTGCCTGGGCTAGGAAATGTATCACAACTCTGCACAGTCTCTGACTTTTTCCACAGATAACAGCACATCCGGACACCCAGATCAAGTCACAGAGGAGCCAGGAAGGCAGCACAGCCCTACCCGTGGTCCCATAGCAGCCAGCCTCTCGTGGCATTCTTTTCTTGGTTCTCGAAACCTTAAGTATCAGATACCTTAAGCAAACAAAGTTTTCCAAATGGAAGCAAATGCTCTATCCCTACCTAAACATGCTGTGTGGAATCTAAAGCCCAGAACAGACGATGTTATTTGCTAGAAAAACTGTGAAACAAAAACCAAAACGAGAAATCAGAGAAACGCTGTACGATCTCACTAAGTGGAACCCAAAACAATGAAGAAACGCAACCCCACACCCACAGAAAGACTAGAGTTGTGGTTCGAGAGTTGGGGAGTGCCAGGAGGGGAAGTGGAAGGAGGGGGCAGAAGGTACAGACTCCCAGGCAGGAGACAAATGAGAGCTAGGGAGGGAGCAGACCACCTGAGGACCCTGGCAGGGACCCTGCTGTGCGCGACAGACGCAGGGGCGACTCAGTGGGTTAAGCCTCTGCCTTCAGCTCACACCGTAGTCTCGGAGTCTCGGAGTCCTGGGATCGAGCCCCGCATCGGGCTCTCTGCTCTGCGGGGGGCCTGCTTCCGCTCTGCCTGCCTCTCTGCCTACTTGTGATCTCTGTCTGTCAAATAAATAAAACAAAAACAAACAAAAAACAAGGAAAACACCTTGTGTGCTCTTCCCTGAGAGAGGACCAACGCTCGTGGAACTTAGCCCAGTGGTTCTTCCACGGGGCTGGTCAGTCCACCAGGCTGCGTGCGCGCAAACCTGCCCAATGATACGTGCCCACGACAAAACCGGAAAACACCTGGCTTCCTCCTCGGCGTGGAAGTCCTTTCCCCTGGTGGGGCCCCTGCCAGGTGCATTCCTCCAGCTGAGGCAGCAGCTGCTGAACAGGCCACCCGCGGGGACAGCCTCCATGCGACTGAGTCTGCACAGAGCTATGGCGCCTGTGGCCCAGACACCTGCATGGGGGCAGGCTGAGGGGACAGTGACAGGGACATGGCATTAATGAAGGGCCCGCATCCCTGGTGCCTTCCGTTCAGTGCTTTCTAATCTCGAGCTGAATACTGAAGAGGAAGGCCAGGGAAGAAAAACTCAGCAGGCACCTAGGGCTGGATGAGAAAAGCAGGTCCCGAGCACGTACGCATTTTCTAAGTGCTGGGGATTCAGTGTGAGCAAAACAAGAACCTGCCATCTGCCACCACATTTCGGAATACATTTCCCTCAAAGAGACCAATGTAGTTGACAAGTAGAGTTCACATGGCTTTGAACCATGTGGGTTTTGCTTCTACATGGACTTTTGCACACAGTACGGGGCTGTAAATATATTTCCCTTAGGCTGTAAATATATTTCCCTTAGGATTTTACTAATAACATTTTCTTTTCTCTATCTTCCTAGATTGTAAGAGGACAGCACACAGTACACAGAGCATACGAAGTATGTGTCCGTCCGCTCCTCGGGTGATCAGTACGGCTTCCAGTCAACAGCAGGCTATTAGCAGGTCATGTTTTTGAGGAGTTGAAAGTTCTATGTGGGGCTCTGACTGGGGCGGGGTGGGGGTGCCTTGACCCCCACGTTATTCAAGGGTCAACTGCATAACCTGCTTGAGGATGAAAGCCAGCTTGAGAAAAACCCAGGCATGGCACAAATCACCTCTTGGACTCATGGAAAATCATAAAAACAGGACCAGCCCAGGATAGTCAGACATAGAAACCAAGGCCTTAACTAATGAAGCTACTGGAGCCACAGAGCATCCCCCTCTTGACCAGGTTTGGCCACTTAATGACACGGGCACCCAAGCGGCAAAGCTGACTGATCATGTGGCACTTGAGAATCGATCCCTGCCTGCACAGGCACAAGTCAGCTACCTCTGCATCAACTCTTCCCAAGTTGTGACTAATCCCTTCATCTTAAAACCATTATATCTGTCTGGACAAGGACATAAAACTCCATGGGCTGGCAAATGCATGCTTCAGCCAGTAGCGGAAAGAAAGCCTAAGGCTGTAGGTAATGCAACTAACATCAAGAACAAGACAGAGATGCCTAGGATCCCTATGTACGTAAGACTGGACCCTGAAAATTCCAAGGACTCAACTAAAAAACAACTATAAGAAAATTTAGTAAGGAAATAAAAAAAAATATAAAAGAAAAAAATGGCTTTCATTATCACTTTGGGGCATCTGGGTGGCTCAGTTAAGGTTAAACATTTGCCTTCAGCTCAGATCATGATCTCAGGGTCCTGGGATAGAGACCCGATTCGGGCTCCTGGCTAAGCTTCTCCCTTTCCCTCTGCCCATCCCCCAACTCGTGCATGCTTCTGCTCTCAAATAAATAATAAAATCTTTTTAAAAAATAATCACTTAGAAGATAATGGAACAAAGATACTCCTCTCATTCACAATAGCAACAAAATATTTTAACATCTATATGAAGAAAACTTCAAATACCTCTGAAAGGTCACCAAAAAAACTTAAATAAAAACTCAAAGGCTTTCTTTTTTAAGATTGAGCACGTCATGTCAGTTCTTCCTAATGTATAAATGTAATATAATCCAAAATCCGTCAGTGTTCTTAACTAGATAATTATAGTTTCCAAGGGGAAATAAGAAAACATGAATGTTTTTTCCCAGAGTTTTCCAAGCTATGGAGGAGGATAAGCACAACCAAATATTACAATATGTAAGTGATCCTGATCATGGATAGACTAAGGGAACAGAAGTTCAAAAATAAAAACAGAAGTCCAGAAATAAATCCAAAAACATAGAGGAATTTAGGATCCGGTAAGGACGGAATGTCAAATCAACTGGTTATCCATGTAGAAAAAAAAAGTCTGATCCATATCCCATGAAGTATAGCAAGAGACACTGCAAAAGGATGGGGCATCGAAATATTTGAAAACCCCACAAACCCATACAACAGAGCAACACAACTATAAAAGCACTAGAGGAAAACCGAAAAAAATCTTATAATCCTGACGCTATGCATCAAACTCCAGAAGGCACAAAAGATCAACTCAATTACATAAAAATCAAAAAAATCTCTGCAACGTATGAAACATTTCTCATATTTTTTTTTAAAAACCTGTGTGGCAAAAAAATGAAAAGACCAATGACAAACTGGGGGGCATCTAGGTGGCTCAGTGGTTAAAGCCTCCAATTCTTGGTTTCAGCTCAGGTCACCATCTCTGGGTTCTGAGATCAAGTCCCGCATCTGTCTCTGTGCTCAGTACCGAGTCTGCCTGAGACTCTCCCTCTGCCCATCCCCCCCCTTGTGCACACACTCTAAATAAAATCTTAAAAAAAAAAAACAGACAAACTGGGATACACCTCAACAGCAAGGACTGATTCAGACAATGCTTAAAAACTGGTAAACAGACCAATCATTACAAAAGTGCACAAAGGTTATGACCAGAACATTCATTCATGCAACGTTTATTAACCACTTACTATGTGCCAAATACTTCTCTAGGTGCCTAGGATATAAAAGTTAAAACATAAATAATCCTGCCTTCAGAGAACTTACATTAAATAAAGGTAATCTGATGAATGAAATAAATAAAATACATTTTATCAGATGGAAAGCAGAGAGGGAGAACCAGAGGGTGGGGTGGCTGTTGCGCCCCGTTAAGGCCTCATCCAGAAGATGCCATGTGAATGCGACCTGAAGCACTCTGAGAGCCTCCCGATGGGGGAAGGGCACACCAGGGAGGGGAAGAGCCAAGTGCAAAGACCCTGAGGCAGGAGCAGCAGCAGGGTCAAGGACTGGCAAGGAGCGGAAGAGGCAGAGAAAGGATAAGGTCAGAAGAACAGGGTGGGGGAGGGGCAGACAGGAGTGCACAGGTCCTACAGATGAGCTTTTACTTGGAAATGGGTTCTGAAAAGTTGCTTCATCTCACAAAGAAAGTGAAGAGTGCGCTGACGCCGTACCTATCAGCCAACGTGTGAGAGAGCCGCGTTGGGGCGTGCACGGCCCGGGAAGACACCGGTACGCAGAGCAGCTTATAACAGCAAAGGCCTACAAAGCGCTACACCCACAAACGTCCATCAGTCCCAGACTAATCACGTAAATGATGATTTGACGATGTGATGTGAAGGAAGACTCACCACTGTTAAAAAATAAAGAGGAAGCTCTTCTCTTTAGGTACTGACCCAGAAGGAGCTCTACGATTATTAAGAACAGCCATATGCTTCCATCTGTGTTTCTAAAAAAGGGTTATGGTGTCTTTGAACTTATCTGCATATGCAGAGAAATCTCGGACATGACCTACAAAAAACTAATAGCGAGGTCACTAGTGGTGGTTGCTGGGAACTGCTCAGGTGGCACTAAATCCTTCCGATAGGTTTTGATTTTTTTTTTTATTTTTTTAAAATATTTTATTTATTTGACAGAGATCACAAGTAGGCAGAGAGGCAGGCAGAGAGAGAGGGGGAAGCAGGCTCCCTGCTGAGCAAGAGAGCCTGATGTGGGGCTCGATCCCAGGACCCCAGGATCATGACCTGAGCTGAAGGCAGAGGCTTTAACCCACTGAGCCACCCAGGCGCCCCTAGGTTTTGATTTTTAAGCCCTGTAAATGTATTTCCTCTTCAAAAAAGTAAATACCTTAGTTCAAAATGTTGAAGTCCCTCCACTGCAGCCTATTTCAATTCCTAAAGCCCAGCGGGACACGCTCTCCAGCCCTGCCAGTGGCCGGCTGGCGTGGGGAAGCCGGCACCCTCCCCGGGAGGCTCACCTCTATGGGGATATAAAGCATGAATCCCGGCTCTCCCGTGTGCGTCATGCTCATCACCCGGATCCCGTTCGCGTAGCCCACGCTCATCTCCTGTGGAAGCAGAGGAAGCGGGTGAGCACGGGCCCTTCGGAGGTCCTGAGCACCCAGCGCTTGCGGAGCGACGAACACCTGAGGCGAGCCCCTCTCATTAGCTCTGCACCTCTGATCCTACAAGGGGCACGTGAATGAAAAATTCATCCTCCAAGTGGTCTGTTTCCAAGTACTGGGGTCACCAGGAATGGAGAGGAGTCGCTACAATCTCTCTTCTCAGGAGTGTCGCCACTGCAGGGGGGCCAGCCACGCTGCCGCTGGGAAGTGGAGGCAAAGTCTTTACAAGCAAGAAACATTTGTTTTCACGAAGCCCTGCTGAGGGTGTGCTGTAGTCAGGGGCATCTGGAGTGATGAAGACCGGGTCAATGTCCTCTCCGGGGGATCTGGCAGCCAAGTCCCGGGCACCTGCCCCACAAGAGGGCACCCGACGAGCACAGAATGTGGTGCGCCTGCTACTCGGGTCAGAGGCTGGGCTTCTCACCCTCAGAATGTGTTTATGGAGCCTTAGTTACCTAACAGCCCTCCGGCACCATTGTTTTCCTATCATGGAAAGTGCCAGCTCCCAGACGGCAGTGAAGCAAGCTACTCCCCAGCGGGCCCAAGAGGACACGCTGCGCTGTCGGCTCACACACCTGGGCCACTCGTCAGGAAGCAGGCCCTGCAGGGAAGCGCCTGCTGAGGCTAACGGCCTGAGCTTTCCGTCGCTTCCATTCTGCCGCGGAGGAAAAGGAAAACTGCACTGTCAGCAGCTGGGTCCCAGCCTGGGTCCGAATTCTGAGGAGCCTGAGTAACTGTCCCACGGCTGCTGGTTACAGGTCACCAAACCACTGGTCCGTTTAGACCTCGCTTACCAGCATTCAGTTCCCACTTGTTTTACGCAGTTATCCATGGCTACTGTTGCCAAACATAAGGAACTTACAGAAGCTGCTCACCCAGACATACCGCACAGACAGGAGTTACTCTGTAAGGGGGAAGGGGAAGCACAGAGAATGCGGACCCGACCTTAACCAGCATTTTTGGCATCTGTGTAATAATGCTCTAACTTAGAAAATTTAAGCCACTGCTACACAAAGCAATAAATACATAGGGCTGATTCTCAGAGAAGTTAAATCCAAGGATACCCTAATGCTTACTGAATAAGGAGACTTGGCAGGGTGAAAAATAAATGAATTTACTGAGTCATTTTGTTTGCTTAATGAAAACCACAACGCCCTTTGTGGGCATCAGTGCTGTAGTAAGAACATGTAATTGCCATCACTATAAAACAAATATTCCCTACCCACTTAACAACTAAAACTTTATTAGCACCCACCTTGCAAAACAGACTTGGGAAGTGGTCTGGAGTCATAGGGGCATAGGACAGCTCAGACAGCACATCCACAGCTCGAGGACCGATCAGATTGAGGGCTAAACGGAAAGGAACGAGAGATGCCAGTCCAGGTGACAGCTGGGCCAAAGAGAAAAGTTTTGGACTTGATCCCTTGCCGCCAGGCCTGGGCATTAAGACTACGACGGCAACCCTTTGCTTAGGCAACCCAAGGATGGGCAGAGAGAGAGTCCCTCCATTCCGACAAACACACCCCTCCTGACAGGCCTGCTAAGGCAGCTACTGACTGCTGGCAACAGCGCCCAGCGAGCTGCTTCCTCTGCCCGGGGCGCTGGGAGACAACCCACAGCTGCCTCTACAGGGACACTGGGATCGTGAGACCACATCCTGGCTGATGACAGGCGCCCACTGCCAGGCCTGGCCGTGAACTTGCCTCACAGTTCCCACTGCCTCCCTCTTCCCAGGCTGCTACGTGACGGGAGGAGCCCAATCCCCGATCTGCACCAGGAAGACAGCCCTGAGAAGAGCTGCCCAACCAGCCTGGAGTCCATCATGTGACAGCAGCTTGTGGGAACTACACACCAACCACCCTCAGGGGCTAGAAAACAACTCTGGTTCTACAGTCTGCCAGTCTGGTAGCAAGAAGGAAAAGCTGCTATGAATTGGCAACGAGGGCCTGCTGGGGACGAGGGGCGGGTGTCGGTTAAATGGGGGGTTGGCAGGCATTAAACCTAGAATGAGCCGGTAGAAGGAGGGGCTGCTCCCCCCCACAGGACTGCTGAGGAGACAATTAAGTCATCTTTGGGGCACCTGCGTGGCTCAGTCAGCTGAGTGTCTGCCTTTAGCTCAGGTCATGATCCCGGGTCCTGGGACTAAGTCCCTCATTGGGCTCCCTGCTCTGTGGGAAGCCTGCTTCTCCCTCTCCCGCTCCCCCTGCTTATGCTCCCTCTCTCACTGTTTCTCTGTCAAATAAATAAATAAAATCTTAAAAAAAAAAAAAGAAAGAAATTAAGTCATCCTCAAAAATTATCCACTCACTTAAAAAAGGTAACAGGAAATTCTGAGGAAAATAATACATCAGCAATAAATTAAAAAATACCGTTTGGGACACCTGAGTGATGCAGTGGGTTGAGCATCCGACTCTTGATTTTATCTCAGGTAACAATCTCAGGGTCATGGGATCAGGTCCCATGTTGAGCTCAGCGCTCAGCATGGAGTCTGCTGATAAACAAATAAAATCTTTTTAAAAAAATTGATTTGACAGAGAGAGACAAAGTGAGAGAGGGAAGCACAAGCAGGGGGAGGGGGAGAGGGAGAAGGCTTCTTGCTGAGTAGGAAGCCTGATGTGGGGCTTGATTCCAGGACCCTGGGATCATGACCTGAGCAGAAGGCAGACGCTTAATGACTGAGCCACCCAGGTGCCCCTGATAAATCTTTTTTTTTTTTTTTTAAAGATTTTATTTTTATTTATTTGTCAGGGACAGAGGGAGAGAGAGTGAGCGAGCACAGGCAGACAGAGAAGCAGGCAGAGGCAGAGGGAGAAGCAGGCTCCCTGCTGAGCAAGGAGCCCGATGTGGGACTCGATCCCAGGACGCTGGGATCATGACCTGAGCGGAAGGCAGCCGCTTAACCAACTGAGCCACCCAGGCGTACCCCTGATAAATCTTTTAAAGGGAAATTTATCTCTTTTAGAGAGAGTGCGAGCACACGATGGGGAGGAGGGGCAGAGGGAGAGAATCTCAAGCAGACTCCACAATGAGCCTCACGTAGGGCTTGATCTTACAACCCTGAGATCATGACCTGAGATGGAATCAAGTCAGATGCCCAACCGACTGTGCCACCCAGGCGCCCTGTCAAATAGATAGATACAGAGAATCTTTAAAAAAAAAAAAAAAAAAAAAAAAATACGGGGCGCCTGGGTGGCTCAGCGGGTTAAAGCCTCTGCCTTCGGCTCGGGTCATGATCCCAGGGTCCTGGGATTGAGCCCCACGTTGGGCTCTCTGCTCGGCGGGGAGCCTGCTTCCCCGCCCCCCAGCCTGTCTCTCTGCCTACTTGTGATCTCTGTCAAATAAATAAATAAAATCTTAAAAAAAAAAAAAAACTACTACTGGGGTCCCTGGTGGCTCAGTTGTTAAGCATCTGCCTTTGGCTGAGGTCATGATCCCATGGTCCTGGGAACGAGCCCCATGCTGGGATCCCTGCTCAGCAGGAAGCCTGCTTCTCCCTCTTCCACTTCCCCTGCTTTTGTTCCCTCTCTCACTCTGTGTCAAATAAATAAATAAAATCTTTAAAAAAAAATACTATTCAAATGATTTACCCATTCATTTAACCAATATCTGCACTCCTCCATGCTGACCATAGGGATACAACAGCAAACAAAACAAACCACAACTGAAACACAACTCAGTGCATACTGAACTGACAAAAACCTGGGTGTCAGAGAGCGATGCTGTGCGCCCAAAGAGCCTCCTGCACGCCTCTGACTCCAATCCCCATTTCTGAATGTCAAATATAAAGAAGGCAAATGGAGAAGACATATCTGGACAGGCTGGCCTTTCCCTGCGCAGCCGACCCCAGAGGGCCCGCCTACCGGTGTATTTCCAGGTGACGTCCTCCAGAAGCAGGTTGCTGTCTTCCGGCATGTGTTTCTTAAGCCAGGCCCAACAGTGGACCTGCTGGTCGGTGGGGGAAATCATGAAGAAACTGAGAGGGAGACAGAGAGTAATCAAAGCCAGGCAGCTGAGAACGGCTCAGGAAGCAGGCAGATTAACTCATTTCAAAGCAACCCATGCGCAGAAGACCTGGCTTTCTGAGAGGGCCAGCAGTGCCCAAGCCCCGATCTACCGAGTGAGCACAAAACAAGACCTGGGCTTCCCATCGGTGCCGAGACAGCAGATGAGACCGACTATGGTAAGCGACCATCTCCGCCCCTAGGGTGACTCCGCTGTTCACGGCGAATTTTATTAATCTGGGGGTTTCTTCTCCTTCCCTGTGATTTCTGTCTGTACTGCACTGCCAATGACCAGGCCAGGACTGTCTGAAATCTCTGTGTCCTGGGTATAAGCGGGTTTCCTGGAGCCCAGGGCCGGGCGCCCGGCTCCCCGCATGGAGTCAGGGTGCCGTGGGGGGCAGTGGGGGACATGGGCCTCACCTGCGCTTGCTCAGGCGTGCGATACTGCAGTCGTTCTCATAGCCCCCGCCCTGGTTGAGCATGCCGGTGTGCACGATGTGGCCCACAGGCACGTCCAAGTCGTTGGAGAAGAGGTACTGAAGGACTTCCAGGGCCTGGTCCCCGGTGGACTGCCGGGTTAGGGAACAAAGCAGAGAGCGTGAGCACGAAAGCCTGTGGCCGGGTGACACTGCTGACACTGATGAATCCCTCCATCACCCCCGGCAACGATGCCTGTGGTTTCACTCCACCGCCAGAAGCTCCGGAGAAAGCTAGCTTGATTCCCATGTTAAGTGGGCCTCTGCAAGCGGATTACAACCCAGAAACAGCTCAAAATTTAGAGAAATGCTATAATACAGCTAAAACACTAAGATATACCAGAGTTCTTAGAGAAGCAGTTTTAAAGTGACAGATGAAAAACAGGGCATTCAACGAATATGCAAAGGTTCCTAATCTCTTCTTTTGGTTCCCAAGCACTTACTGTTATTTCAAACTTTGTGAAAGAAGACATGTCAATGACGCACACAGCTTCCTTACAGCACTTGACCTCGGACTCCACAATTTCAAACCAGTCTGGCTTATAGAACGTCTTGCTCTGCTCCAACGCCAGGAGGTCTGTGGACCAGAAAACAACAAGAGAAAAAGAGAAAAGGAGATTTATAACGCGTGGAGCTTAGTAGAGCCTGACAGATTTTGTTTATTCCTCTAGGAACATGTTCTAGCTATAATGCATTTTAAATGGGTTTTATTGGCCCTTAGGACAAAAAGGAACAAAAATGAAAACTGCCCTTCTTACCCTTGTCCGGTGGCACAAAGTACTTGGGCCTCTCAAATCCATGTTTCTCCATCCACCTGGCTCCTTGTGCATCCAGCCGGTCATAGAGAGGGGAAGTGCGTAACTGCCTCCCGGTCTGGAAGTCCCAACGGGGAACCTTCAGATCGTACAGCAGAGCTAGAACAGATAAGGACAGTCTCTGCCAGCCCAAACCACAGGGCGGAGAACACAGCATCCACGAGGTTCAGGACTTGCTCTACGCACAAGAGCACGCTCTGCGGGCTAACGGGGCCTAACGGGACCAGTGCCCAGTGCGACAGGCCGGCTCTAAAAGAAAGAGGAATGCTGCAGAAGCTATGCTCCTCCCTCACAGTTACACGGCTGTGAGCCGCAGAACACCTCCAGGTTCGAATCCATAGGCAGAGTCGATGGGAGGAAGGTCCGATTTCCCCAGCAGAGAGGAAGGCTGCATCACCACAGCACACAGCAGGCAACAACGTGTGAACACATGGCGTGTGCTTCTTTATGGGGCCAGAGTCGCTGAGCCCTCAGAACTGCTACAGACACTTCTAACATCTGACCCGCTACCGAAGTGAAAGGGCACAGAGTATACTCTGATTTGGTGGCTGTGATATCGGACGGGTTGCAGAGCCCTGGCCCAGTGACATAGTCACATGACAAAGCCAAGGTCAGAATTCATGTCTCCTAGTGTCTAATCTCCAACAGCAAGATGTGAAAACAGCCAGCAAGAGTGTGAGCTCGAGTCCTAGCACAGAGAAAACCTGACCTCGTGGCACGCCACACAAGAGGGACAGCGGGCTGCAGAGGAGGCTGAGAGATGCAGAGAAGGGACCCACGCTGGTTGCCTTAACTTGTGACGATGTTTCAGTCCCCTCTCACATTTAAGGTCCTACTTAGCTTCCCCACTTTCTATTGTGCCTGCGATTCCTGTCATGTGAGAATCGGAGGTGGCCACCATAAGTGTCACATCAAGGAGAAACTAAAGCTCCATTATAATTTGCACAGGTTCTAAAGAAACTACAGCTGGGAAAATCAGGACTTATGGAAGTTCATCATTTTAACCAAAATCTCTGCTAAAATTAAAGAATCTTAGTGGCCACCCACACTGCTGCCAGGCCCTCTGTCTCCCACAGATAGTTCCCTGCCACAGGCCAGAAGTGAGCACATAGATGCTAATGGTTAACCAAAGGCCTCATCGTGAATGGGCCCCCGACCCCCCACCAATACTTTATCAACAATTCACTGTTAATCAAGACTGGTGCTCAGAGCCAGTGCAGAAACTTGGCTGTGAGTATAAATATGCCCCAAATATTTAGGAATATTTTGGCAAACTCTCAGAATAATAGTTCCTCAGTATAGGACAGTGAAATGACAGTCTGATTTGGTTCAGTTTCTGATACAAAAGCTGACTCTGAGGGTTTACTAGAAAATAAATCAGAGACAAGGTACAGTAACAAGTTAAAACGAAGAGGCCTTCAAAGCTGGAGGGAAGACCAAGGAGAACAGAAGCATATGTTTTATATTTACATGAGAAGTGGTCTCCTATCTTGCTAGCATGTAACAGTTAATGACAAAAATCACTCAGAGAAGCCTGAAGCTTTGAGAATGATGTGGCAAATTCTCTGCCTTGGAAACCAAATCATGGTCTCAAAGATCAAGGAGGGAGCGAGAGCATTCACCTGGCATGGGAACTTGGCAGGCGCAGTGGAAAGCACATGACACTAGGAATCCACATGGAAGCCCTATTCTTTCCTATTCCCAGAGGTAAATAAAAGACAATATACTAAAGAGAAGGTTCTGTAAATATCACCCAGGGCCTAATGCCTCAACCAGACATCAGAAGCCCACTCAGCAATTATTAAACAACTACCCCTCAGAATGATCAAGCAGGCCCCAGGGCAGACACCTTCAACAAGGCACCGCCGGGACCGAGCTCCACTCACGCATGACTTCCATGACCCGGTGACGCAGAAAGGTGCGGCTGCTCTGGAGGGCTCCGAAACGCTTCAAGTCCAGTTCCCAGATGTTTTCTGATGGGTAACCGTGCACCATCCATTCAGCGAGGTACCTGTTTAGATGTGGGGGACGTTGCTATACCTCCCATGGGACACACTCCTAACCGTACGAGGAAGCAACAGCCAAAAGAAACAGCCCGTCCTGTCACAGGCTGGTTGAGAAATTCTGGGCAAATCCCTTAACTCTTCTGAACAAACAAACACGATCCATCTACTGCTCTCAAAACCGCTGTGAGAATTTTAACTCTAGTAAGATTCCCTAGAAAGTGCTAGAAGACAAGCCACATCTGTGAAAAGACGGAAATAGAGATGTACTCTAATTTATCCATCCAGTGGTTTTTTCCTGGAAAACCCGCGGAGGTTATACACTATCTGACCATATCTCCGCTCCAAACACTTTGGGTAACTCCTCTTCCCTGTTTTCAGAGCCATTCTACAAGTCACTCAAGAAAAATGGCCTCATCAATAAAAAATTCAGATCAGGGGCGCCTGGGTGGCTCAGTGGGTTAAAGCCTCTGCCTTCGGCTCAGGTCATGATCTCAGGGTCCTGGGATCGAGCCCCGCGTCGGGCTCTCTGCTCTGCGGGGAGTCTGTTTCCCTCTCTCTCTGCCTGCCTCTCTGCCTACTTGTGATCTCTGTCAAATAAATAAATAAAATCTTTAAAAAAAAAAAATTCAGATCAATAAAATCACATCAGTAAAAAAATTCAGAAATTTAATTGTGGTAAAATACACAGAACATAACACAACATAGAACAAAACAGAACATAAAATTGTTTTCCTGTGTGAGGTTCAGGGGCGGTACGTACTTCGACAGTGCCAGGTGGCCGCCACCACCCCCACCTCCTGAACTCTTCAACTCCCCAAACCGAAACTCCCTCCGCTCCGCTGCCCCAGCCTGCCAGCAGCCCCGGCACTCCAAGGAGCTCAGAGAAGTTCAACCACCCAGTGTTTGTCCTTTCCGACTGGCTGCTTTTAATTAGTATGTAATTTTTTCAAAAGACTTGTATTACTCAGCATGATCCTCTGTCTCACAGCACTTACCGTTTCCAAACTCAAATGCACTCGAAGGATCAACATTTGTAACCACTGCAGGAGCCCAAAAGTACATCTCACAGGCTCCGAGACTAATTCCAAAGAGTTTGCGACCACTATGCATAGTGACACTTGCGGAATATGCCACAGAGATGACCTTAGGGCACAACTCTCCGATCACG